CTGCCTTAGCTAATGCCAAGGGATATGGTACCAAGAGACAGTAAGTTCCCTCCACTTGTTTGATTTTTTATGTATTCCCGAATACCAGGTTATGTTGACAACTCTGCTAAATAAACTCTCATTACTAATTGCAGCTGTTGGTTAAACCTGGAACTCATTTGGAGTTTCTTTGGTCCTGCCTGCTTCATCATTGTTGTAAGTAGAATTATTGAGTTGAAAGATGTCCTTAAAATTGACAAAGGGCTTCTTTTAAAAAATTAACGTTGTTATTTGTTGCTTTTCAGGTAAACATTTTCTTCTTTCTCATCACTGTGTGGAAGTTGGCGCAGAAGTTCTCAAGTTTAAACCCTGACTTAGACAATCTGCAGAAAATAAAGTGAGTGTCTGTGTGTATAAATATGGTAACATTTATTTGACATATATATTTGGAACAAAGTGCCCCAGATTTGAACCGTGTGTATCTTTGTTGCCTCCTGCAGGGTGTTCATCATCACTGCAGTAGCTCAGCTGACACTTTTGGGCACCATGTGGATCTTTGGTTGTTTCCAATTTGAGAGGGCGCCAATAGTCATATCATACCTGTTCACCATCTTTAGCAGCTTTCAGGGGGTTTTGCTCTTTGTCATGCACTGTCTGCTTTCAAAACAGGTTTGTCAAGCCTCCTCCTCTCAGAAATCGAAAAAGCAGGCTCTGCTGGTTTTTCTGGTGTCAAAATTTGATTTGTATTCTAATTTTAGGTGAGGGAAGAATATGGAAAGATCCTGTCCATGTGCTGTGCACCTGGAAAGAAGAGTTACTCTGACTTAAACTCCTCACACACCAGCAAAGCTCGTGTAAGTAGTTAGTAATATTTTATTTCAGTGTGTCTCATTTACGTAGTATCCAGAATTTTGCAGTACAAACTTAGTAATTTTAACACAATGAGCAACATAGAAATGTTCATGTATGTGATAGTAAAGTTTGATTTCTACTTAAAGTTTATTTTAATAAAACACACAATCTAAAAAGAAAGAAGTTCTGGAAAATAGTTGTACCATTTGATAAATAACCTTAATTGCTCGCGAGGCAACCGTAAAATTAAGTCAAACATTTGCATACGTGTGGACAGCATAGTTCAACATTTGTTCTGTAATTAGATTGCTTGGGAGACTTAATTTAGTTAAATCACCGGAAGGTTACTTGGAAAGCTTCCTAAAGGCAAACAGTATTTTCCCATGGTTTGAAGATGACATGGTATTTAAGGTAACATGAAGGGTGTCAGAACAGAGCTGTCCTGATAAAAAAAGAATATATACTGAAATGTCTGTTGTGACTCATCGGCATGTCTTTTTCCCGTTACTCAGGCATCCAAGAGCACCCAGGACACGGGGGAGTCTCGCATCTGAGGAGTTAACAAGTCTGATTTATTTAAAGAAGACAGCCATCTTAGATGTATAGCTTACTTTTGCCCTGACACGTGTAGTCAATGCACCAGCTTCATTGCAAAATGATGTAAATGCTTCTTTACATTTTCATGACTTTTTTTTCTTTTTGTTATTGAGTGGGTATTTGCATTTTAAGCTATTAAAAAAGGAAAACGTTGACTAATTTATTTATTACAAATTAAGAAATAAGAAATTACATTCGACAGTCATAGAATTAAAAAAACTGGATGTTTTGATATTCAAACAGCACTTTTAAGAGAGAATTGTTGAAAATTGTTTGAGAAAAATAATCTAAAAGTTATTTTAAAATGTTATCACTGCTAAAGAATTTACAAAATATTATCGATAGATATTTTGATCAACACCTGTTTTATCAGGTATATGTTGTATGGTACTTTATGCAACATGCAAAGACAATCTAAAAGATATTTCTAAGACAAGCACTTTTTACTGTGGAACTTATTATCTGAATATGACCACCACAAAGAAGGACGAATATTAGATTTTTAATGTATTTTTTGTGTATATATTGCTACCAAATTTAGTATTTATAGTAAGTTACTGTATTTTATGCTCCATTTAGCGTGCTTTTACATATTAAATGTCAACATTTTTATTTACTTAGTTCCAAAACCTGAATGTTCAGAGATAATTTATGTATTTTTGTGTTTTACAAAGTCATTTTCGTTTTAAGCACTGGCTTTAGCAGCGAGTTCTGATAGGTAAAAAAAGATGCAATGCAAAAAAACTCATATGTAGGCATGACTGGCCTTGAATCATTTGATGTAAAATATACAATAAAGATTTTGTGAACAAATAAAGGATTTCTTTAAAGTTTTATCAAGCAAGATTACAAATAGTAACAAGATATCAACAAAATAAGAGCCATCCTTTATTCATATCTTCTGACACTTTTACGTTTGCCAACTGCATTTGACTTGACTTGCACATACCGAGGAAATAGAAGATTATCTCCTCTTCCTTCCTGTTTGTGTGGAATACAGACAGGATGTTCTCAACAACAACAACAACAACAAGTCTGAAATCTCCAAATTGATACTTGAATATTAATGCGCAAACCTTAAGTGTACTCCTGAAAGAAGTATTTTGCTGTTAGTTTCAATGTAAAACAGATGAATCCCTCTTTAAACATCACAAATCTTGGTACTGATGCACGTGATGCACAAGTATACCAGAAACCCTTGAGGCACCTAATCACCATCATGCTCTTTCGATCTCCTTTGATGTCCTTCGTTGTGCCTACTCTCTGTTTATGTGACAGACGATGGGTGATAATCATCATTGAGTAACAAACTCAAATTTCTTTCTGCTTTGAGGGAAATACATTTGTCATTGCGAATTTGAGAAAGTAAATAAGAACATTTTCGTAATAGCTGACTTTTGTAACTGTTGAATTATTCAGCTTGAACTGAATCAATACTACCAAAAGTAATGACTGAGATCCCCCCTGGTTCAAACGATAAGCAGAGAAGATGAATAGATGCAAGGACTACATCCAGGGAGGGAAAGAGGATGGATAATGCAGATCCGGTATGGAGATAAAATAGCTGCCACGTCTCTGGAGAGGGAGAAAGTCTGACCAGAGAGAAAGGGAATCTATCAGAGAGGCAAGGGAAAGAAAGGGAGGAGAACGAGAGCAAATGATTGTGAACAATAATGATTACGGAACATAGTAAATTATGCAGATCTGTGGACAAGAGAAATACGTTTGTCGTCTCTCATCCAGTGTTCAGTTGGAGTCACTTGAAGGTAAGTTTGATTTATAATTCATAACCATTTCTTGGTGATTTACCTCATAGATAACACACTTATATTATATTCTTCTCAGGTGCAAATTACTCTCAAGAACGGTGAATGTTTAGGAAATCCGGGATTTCTCCCTGATTTAAAGTCAATCCACTTTTACTGTGAGTAGGTGGGATTCAGACATCCGTATTTACATATTTGAGAGATGGACAATGCATAAAGGGCACTACCCCATTGTCCTGTAATTTCCTTTATTATAGCTTGGATGTTAATACATGTTTTGTCTTGTTTAAAGAGCACAGTAAAAGAAGAATAACAAAATATTCTGTCTTTATGATAAAGAAAAGATATCCATTTGAATAATATCATGTTCAACACGACAGCTTTGTTTTGTTGCACTCACTGCCAAACCCCAACAACAGAAATAACAGAAAGGAATGCAAGAACCTTTGAAGGTCTGTAAACTTAATAGATGATGCGGAGGTTTATGTAAACAGCAGATTACGGATTCTGTTCGCTGTGCTGTGTTTGCGAAAGATAGAAGAATTTCTATCTATTCTTTTGCTGTGCCTCTGTGAAAAGGCTATGTCTGGAGAGTGAGAATCTATTAACCGGTTACAAATATCAAGCTAAGTGTCTGATGCCTGATGTATCAGGATGAAAATCGCTAATGCGCGTTGGAACATTCTGCAGGTTAAAGTTGAATGAGATCAAAATTAAGGCAAAACAAGACTTTTCAACAAGGATTGCAGTTTAAAATAAACCACACCTCTAGTTTCTCTTTAGGTTTGATTTAAAGCATTGTAATTGGTGACTAGCTCTAATAATGTGGGTGTGATCCTGTGTTATTGTGTAGCATATTCCAAATTTGAAACCCAAAACCTCTATTCCCAGCCTAGGCAATCCGATGCAGTCTGATGACATTATGACAGTTCAGCCGAAATGAAAACTGGGAATAATAAGTTAAGGAACCAACTAAGCAACTGGCTGTGGAAGAGTGGCAAAGATAACAATTAGCCAGGTAGGATTATAGCAGGTGAGCAATTTGAGCAGTGGAAACAAATGTGTTGAACTTTTTGTGAAACAGCATACAGATGAGAAATTAAACTACACACATAAAATCAGCAGAAATAACATAAGTTCCCTATATTTCCACACTATAAATGACAGGAAAGTTTAGTAAATGTTGATCATTCTCTCCTCAGGGCAATTGGCATAGTTTGTTCTGTATTCGAGGCCTATGTTGTGTGTCTCGTTACAAATCTGTCCACCGTCTGTGACTGTCAACAGTTATGAAGAAATAATCACCCTGCACAATTCTAAAAATATCCTACAAATATGACACATTGCCATAAACACGATCCCTTATATTGATGTTTTTTTTCTGCATCTTCCATGTTGTGGTTTGAATTTGTTAGAATTTGTGAGAATCCATCAATGTATAAGCAAACACTTCAATCTGCATGTGCTTGCACAGAAAAAAAAGTTCAGGCTGTGTTTCATCCATTCCTCTTTATTATTTCCTTTGCAGTAGCTTCTCTTCTTATTATGGTCTAAATCTTTAGTGTCACTGGCAGACCATATTTATTTGAGTAGCTCAGAGAAGAATGTAGCATTCACTCGTACACAACTTTGAATTTAAGATCTCTCCTGTCTATGAATAACTCGAGACACATTTTAAAAGCAGAAAAGATTATATAAAAACCTTTCCTGAAACTATCACTCACTGCCTTTGTTTGAATTATTGGAAGCATTTATACTTTGCCTGCAATTTTTCCATAGGTAACACTGAAGATGAGAACAGCGTCTATGACTACATTTTCTACCTCTACGCCATCCATCCTTCTGCAGAACCTGAAGATGAACTCCTCTGAGCAGCCGGGTCCCTGGCTGAACAGCAGCACCTTGCTACCTATGAAATCGTCAAGTTTGGGGGTGTCCTGCTTCACTATGACATTTGGCGCCATCTCCAACCTCACAGCTCTGGGCATCCTGGCTAAGTCCCGTGTCCGATTCCGCCGCCCATCCAAATCCCCATTTCTGCTTCTCACAGTAGCTTTGCTTCTGGCTGATCTTGCAGGTCATGTTATCCCGGGCGCATTTGCTTTGTATCTGCACATGGATCAGATTAATCAAATGAAGGCCGTGAAGCCCACCAAAGTATTCTGCCAAATATTTGGGGCCAGCATGGTCTTTTTTGGCTTATGCCCTTTACTGTTGGGTTTTGCCATGGCAGTAGAGCGCTGTGTGGCCATCACCCGGCCCTTTTTCCACGCTGCTATGGTCACATTGGGTCATGTGTGGCGAGTTGTGTTATTGCTGTCCTCTCTTGCATTTGTGCTGGCAGTTCTACCTTTATTTGAGGTGGGCACCTACACTACCCAGTTTCCTGGTACATGGTGTTTCTTACCTATCCATGGTCCAAAGTCTACAGCCGACACCAATTTGGTTCTGGCCTTCTCCTGTTTGGGTCTTACCGCGCTTACTTTTTCCCTACTCTGCAACATCCTGAGTGGTCTGGCATTGCTGCAAGCCAGAAAGAAGTCCCACAATGTAAATACAAAATCAGCAGCTCGCTACACTCGTCGTGCATCATCCACATCTTCCACCTTTTCTCGTTCGTTGAATGTGGAGATGATGGTGCAACTGGCAGTAATCACTGTGGTTTCCTGTGTATGTTGGAGCCCCTTTCTTGTAAGTAGTACTCTTTTAGATTGTATAATTTGTTTCCAGAACCATTATACATTGGTCCGGTGTTTTTAAGAATATTGTTAATGATAATGCAATAGTCTGACTGATTTGTGTATCTTTCCAAATAGATCCATATTCTTGTGAAGCAGTTCAAACAAAGAACCTCAACCCAAGAGAAAGATGGTTTCATTCTTCTGGGCTTACGTATGGCATCCTGGAATCAAATCTTGGACCCTTGGGTTTACATTTTACTGAGGAAAGCAGTGCTTATTAGAGTTTGCTGTGCCAAAGTGACAGAAAATAGGTCCTCTGCAGACTCACACAGACAAGCCTTCATGCTGCAATGAGCATTTTGCTCTAACAAAAATAAATGATCTTTTCTTGTGTGTGGTGAAAAATATACGACTTGCTGTGTTTTTTCTTTCTAAAAGGCTTTGTGAGGTCAATATTCAGCAAGCCAGGCTTACAATGCAGCAGTGTGAATAGGGGATGCGAACAGACTTCCCCAACATTTCCCAACATTTAGTTAGTAGTCTGTGCTTGTGCTACTATCAACAGCAGCCACCTGCAAAACTGGTGGTTGGGAAATTGGGCGGGGGTTAGTATTGCCCAATCAAAATTGAGAAAACCTTGACAAGCGCCGAGTTTAGCAAATGGCTGAGCTGCTGGAGAATGCTCACACCCGGGATGGGCGGTGCTTCTTTGGCAATGACTGTTCAATATGGAGTACAGAAACTAGCCTGATTTGCTCTGCGTTTCACTGCTCTCATTCAGTTTCGGATAACTTTAGCAATTCGGGCTCAAATTATGAACTTTCCCCCGTAGATATCAGCCTACTGGACGCTGTCACGTACGATTGACATATTTCCAAATGTCGTTGGAATGTAAGTTGTTTACTAGCTTAGTTAACGATAACAAAAACCGCGCTGACGTAAATTGATCTGAAACTGTGGTAAAACACTTAAAAACTATTGATTGATAGGCAAAATTGTATATTATCTCGACGTTTTCGACATCCGGAGGAAGATTTCTGGTACTCAATTGTTACCAAGTTGTGCACAGCGACTAGGTTATCGGGTGAAAGGTGACATCGCTTCAGTCTATTGACCCATAGGTAAGTTATGTGCGATGCATGGATGAAGATATTGTTGACGATAATATATTATGTGACCTTGAGAGATATCACTTTAAATACGAGTTGTGTGGCAACTTTATCCCTGCTCAAAGCTTTTATATTATTGTTTAAACCTTTCCTAACAACAAAGTTGTGTGTACCAGTTTGCACTAGCCTACATTAATCCAACGTCCTGAGTGTAGGCTTCAGTCTATGCCCATTATATCCTCAAAGCCCATCTTTTTCCCCTTCCTCCATGACAAGAATGCACAATGCGGCGAGTGTCTCAGCCTCTCTGGGGTCCATGGGACTGCTGCGCCTCTTTGGGGTCTCCTGGCCGTGGAGTCTGGCAGCAGGCCTCGGAGTTTATCTGGGCACAAGAAGCTGGAAATACTTCTACATCGCAGCACGCACCGCCAAGAGAGACCTCAAGTAAGTTAAACATGTACACATATAGTTATGGTCATGCGTTTGGGTTTACATCCTAATTGATATCAAATGTTCCCCCTCCCCAGTGGCCTGTATGTGCTGATGAGAGTGAAGGTGGCTCTATGGCGCTACATGCGTAATGGAAGTAACATTCCTTCCATATTCGCTCAGACAGTGAAACGGCACCCAAATAAACCAGCACTGATCTATGAGGCCACAGGGGAAATATGGACCTTCACTCAGCTGGACGAGATGTCTAATGCCGTGGCCCACTGGGCCAGAGGTCAGGGGTGGGTCTCGGGTGATGTGGTGGCCCTCTTCATGGAAAGCAGACCGTTGCAGGTGGCTCTTTGGCTGGGCTTGGCCAAGGTTGGGGTGGAAGCTGCACTCATCAACTTCAACCTGCGGAATGATTCCCTCGTGCACTGTGTTGGGGTGTCGGGGTCCCGGGCCATTGTGTTTGGAACTGAGCTTGCTGATGGTAAGAATGCATCAACAAGGTAGTTGGAAAGGTACATTGTAAAATGCTGTTCTGCAGGATAACATCTTATTTAGGGCAGAACAAGCCAGATGATTACTGGAATGAGTAATATTTAATTCAATGTTCTTGTGTAACATCAAGGAAGGTGGTGTTGTCACCCTTTTATTTTTATTTTGTGTGTGTAACATTATAACTGTGTCTCCTGAATATCATGCGGTCAGGAAATGCTGTTGCTGATCACATTGCACAGTCCATCCCTTTTTTAAGTTAGTCAAAATTATATTGTGTTGGCTTTCTGTTGCAACATAAACACACCACTGATGTTTGTGTGTGTGACTACTTTATTTACTGTAAATAATTTTTTCATCATATATATCAGTTTACTCTTCTTTAGTCTGTAGGCATCATGGCTTCAGAAAGAAAATTCTTAGATAGTTTGACTTAATAATTTCATATATACATTTCTACAAAATTGTATTTAATTGTCAGAAATATTTAGATTATGTTTTAATTTTAACTAGCGTGCCTGAACTAACTTGATGTCCCCTCTTCTTCTCTCCTTTTCCTCTTACTGAATGGCAGCCATGTCGGAGGTCAGTTCCTCCATAAACCAGGCCATGGTACGGTTCAGTACAGGGGACCTCGGTGCAGAACATCTGGCCCTTCTGGGTGCTCAACCTCTGGACCCAATCTTAGCCTTGTCACCTAAACATCACCCCACACCTTGTGTTCCCCCCAAAGGCATGAATGGTGAGTACAGTCACTGAAATCAAGTGTACCTTTGTCTAAGACTTCATATGTATCTTAATGAGAAGTTCCTTTTTAAATACCCTATTCAAACTATGTCCAATATCCGGCTGGTAAACTGGGGTTGTCACTAAATACTTTTTTGAATAATATGTTGGTTCTTCTTTGGATTAATCAATTTGATGTTTGGTCTATAAAATGTCAGAAAATAGTGAAAAATGTTATGCTTACCAAAGCCCTATTTGTTATTCTAAAATGTTATGTTTAGAGTCATTAGGAAATCTGAAAATATTCACATTTAACAAGCTGGAAAGATTATTTGGCAAATGTTTGAATAGGTATAGACTAAAAGATTTGCAGCTTACTGTTAACTCTAGCGCTATACTAAATTCCCAAAGTTGGTGTCCTACATCAATTTATTTTTCTCACTCTGCTGTCTAGCTTCTGAAGTAAGATTGATCCCCAGTCATTATGTGACTCAGGTGGGATGAGGGGAATGCATGGCTGTGAAAAACCTTAAAAGTCATGAGTCATTTTGAATTCAAGACAGATATTGACAGTTTTCTCTGGGCAGCAGTCAGTAGTTGGTATGAATGACTCACTAAGATACTGTCTGAATAACAATTCATATCCCTGAATAATGGTACATCTGTCTAAGATGAATATTATATAAAAGTCATCATTACAGGTCCAAGCCCTAGATATACCCTTTCCAAACAAACTAGAGGTCTATGATGCCAAGGAAAAGAAAAGCCGAAAATTGTATTTCATGTCCCATCATTCTTTAGGTTTATTGATGGCATTCCAACAGTAACTGAAATGCTGTGAACCTATATGTTTCTTTATTAATCCTCTGTGGTATTTTTCTTCTGCAGACCGTCTATTTTACATTTACACCTCCGGCACCACAGGACTGCCAAAGGCTGCCATTGTTGTACACAGTCGGTACGTTGCTCTCAATGAAAGCACCACTCTCCAGAATTGTTACAGTTGCTGCGCAGTTAATGATAGATGTCTGAGAATCTCTCCTGTGTTCCCACTGCAGTTACTACAGAATTGCTGCTTTTGGATATTTCGCCTTCCGCATGAGCCCAGTTGACATCATCTATGACTGCCTGCCTCTCTATCACTCAGCAGGTATTTGATGGCAGGCTCCAGCTCTTGAACAATACACTTCACCTGTTTTAGGTGTGCATAACCAAAGTGTCAGCTCTTTCTTTTTCCCAGGTAATATCATGGGCGTCGGTCAATGTCTGATCCATGGCCTCACTGTGGTAGTGAAGAAGAAATTCTCTGCCAGCCGCTTCTGGGAAGATTGCATTAAGTACAACTGCACTGTAAGAGGTTTTCTCGGAAAATATCCAGAATTTTACTTAATCAATAAAACATTTATACTTAACAAGCCACAATAACAACTATGTTATCCCGTTGTAGGTGGTGCAGTATATTGGGGAGATCTGCCGCTACCTCCTGTCTCAGCCAGTACGGCCGTCAGAAAAAGGACACAAAGTTCGGCTGGCGGTGGGGAACGGGCTGCGCCCCAGTGTGTGGGAGGCCTTCACAGAGCGTTTTGGGGTGGCACAGATTGGCGAGTTCTATGGAGCAACAGAGTGCAACTGCAGCATCGCCAACATGGATGGCAAGGTCAGCAAACACTGCTTCTTTTTTTTTTACTTGTGTGACTTCCATGATAAAATGGGACTCGGATGAGAATTGAGTTTATTCTGTGATGCCAGGTGGGAGCCTGCGGATTCAACAGTCGCATTCTCCCCAATATTTACCCAATCCGTCTGGTGAGGGTGGATGAGGACAGCATGGAGCTGGTTCGAGACAGCCGGGGGCTCTGTGTGACTTGCCGCCCTGGTAAATAATATGAATACTACCATAAAGACATGTTTTCAAATGTTTTAGTCTTCTGAAATCACGCCATTAAACGCCTCCATGTCTTGCAGGGGAGCCAGGGCTTCTGGTGGGTCGTATCAACCAGCAGGATCCATTACGGCGTTTTGATGGCTACGCTAACCAGGACGCTACTAAAAAGAAGATAGCTCACAATGTCTTCAAGAAAAATGATTCTGCATATTTATCAGGTTACCAATCTTTTTTATATTTTTGTAAATCTGCTAAAAGTCTTGTTATTCTTCAAGATAAAAAAAACACTAACAAATAATGTCACTGTTGTATTGCCAGGCTTCCTTTGTCTGTGCTGAGTAGGGGTAATTTGTATTTGACCAGACATGGAATGTTTTTCAAATTCAAATGTTCTACCCATATGTCTTCTCCAGGTGACGTGCTGGTGATGGATGAATTTGGCTACATGTACTTCCGTGACCGTGGTGGTGACACGTTCCGCTGGCGAGGAGAAAATGTCTCCACCACAGAGGTAGAGGGCGTCCTCAGCAGTCTTCTGTGTCAGACTGATGTGGCAGTGTATGGAGTGACAGTGCCAGGTAATGGTTAACTCTGCATGCTTAACAATTTCCTTCGGGATAAATAGAGTCTTATCTTAATGCTTTCAGCCTCACGTTGCAACCATAACTGTTATTTGTATTTGATGCATATAGCTTGTAACTGTGCTCACTACTTGAAGAGCATGTATCTCCATGTGTCTTGCCAGGTGTGGAAGGTAAGGCCGGCATGGCTGCCATTGCAGACACAACAGGAACTTTTGACTGCAACAGCTTCCTGCAGAAAGTCCAGCATGCTCTTCCTTCGTATGCTCGCCCCGTGTTCCTGCGAATTTCACCACAGGTGGACACCACAGGTACAGTGTCCTGCTGATATCCATTCTGAATTAAAGAAATATCAACCTCACTTTAGATTTGTATATCAACAAATCATAATCTATTTAATGTATCAACAGGTACATTTAAGATCCAGAAAACCAGGTTGCAGAGGGAGGGATACGACCCGCGTCGCAACACTGACCAGATCTACTTTTTAAACACTAGAGCAGCGTGTTACGAGGCTGTAGACGAGGAGCTATACAATGCTATAGCCGAGGGAAGAATGTCTCTATGACATGGAGGCCGTTGCAGGGCAGTCGTGTTGCCTCAGAAAATAGATGCTGTAGAGAGAACATATGCATACGCTGGTGTAGGGATCAGTCAGTTTGGGTGCACCACTGACAGGATTATAACCTTTCAGGAAACGGATGAGAAGACTACTTACATAGGCAGAGTATTGTAACAGATGACGTTTAAACCTTGTATGATTAACACTCCAGGCAATAATGTAAGGGCATTTATTTCCTTTAATAATTTGTTGTGTAATAATTATACATGGACACCTCAAAAAGCCTTTAAGCATCACCGCACAGAGTGGGTATAGCACACAACGGATTTGAAGTACGATACATGCGGTAGCATCAAGTCAAACTGTTACAGGGTATATTCCCATATATGAAGAAGGCTTAAAGAACAATTATGTGTAGGTTCAAGCAATACTTGAGTGTAGAGCTATGGAGTTACTGATGTGTGTTTGGATGAAGCTGAAGGCCAGACTTCCACATGCAGCTGCTAGATAAAGCACTAACCGTAGACTCTTTTTAAAGGAAAACTAATCTCACTTATGTCATATTTAAACCTCTGAACAAAACTGGCACTTGTTTGCAGATACACGAAGGTTGTGACAGTATGTGCCTTATGTGAAATATCAGATGTGTGTTTCAAATGTTTGTTTTTTTAATTAGCTTTTCTTAGAAAGGAGCTCAACAGGTTGTGGTAATCACGAGTGATTTTTTTGCCATGCAAAGCTGAGCCACAAGTGTCATTTTATAAAACAAATCTTATGAGTGTAATATATGGGTGTTTAAAGCTATTTACAATTTCACATCTCCAAGACTACATATTTTGTTGTAACTCTAATTAAATATTTTAAAACAAGTTTGTTTCATGTCATTTATCTAAAAGAAAGATCGAGCTGCATTTCTGATTTGCTCTCTTTGAAATGTAGTGCTGTAATTTCCCACAATCGCCTCTTTTTAAAATAGAAAAAAATATATTCAACATGCCTAAGCAGCCATTCTGTCCTTTTTTTATAACTTTATTACAAACCTTTGGCAATATGTCACCAAAATAAAGGATTAATCCATTGACAATAATATTCTTGTGGGCAGGATTTTCAGCGGATGCTCTTTGCAGGCAGAGCAGAAGTAGGGAAAGGCTCTGGGTGATATGATCCCAGTGAAGGTGTAGAGCGGTGCTCTCTCTCGAGGGTCATAGAAGGTCACCTTGCCCCTGTCCATATCTAAAACGACTCTTATCACTTCTGGCACCTTAGTCATGTTCAGCGGCTCCCACGGTGCTGTGCAGGCCTTGTGCTCACCGTTGCGAAACCTTATAGTCCAGAATCCCTCTGCTGGTGTCAACACGTGCTTGCCCTTCCTGTTGATGGAGTCGCTGGCTACTCCCATCACCCAATAGGTGTTGTTCTTCACCTCTACATCCCAGCTGTGGCGTCCAGAGGTATACCCCCCAGCAGCCAGCATCTCAGCACTGATGTCGAAGCGTTCTGGGTTGTCAGGCAGCTTGAAAATCTGGGTAGAGTTCTGCACAACTGTGAGATCCTCTGAGAGGATGAAGCAGCTGGCCGCTGTGTTAGGATCCAGAATCACAGGATCTAGAGAGAGAGAAGGACGGAAAAAAAAAAAAGCAGAAGTTATGTTAAATAGTCTGGGAGAAGAGACGCTCAATAAAACATGGCTATTTATTTGGGAAAAACTCACTATATTTAACTATATTCTTCATCTTCTCCCACACTCTAAACTTCAAAGAGCCCAAGTGCTTGGCCACATCAATTAGAGCACCAGGTACATTTTGGGGTTCAAGGGGAGTTCGCCAGGTTCTGCAAAGATACTTCAGCAGTTAGTTGTTGAGAATTGTGTCTGTAGGGCTATATTATCATAAATATATTAGCTTAGCAATCCTTGTGGCATTACAACTTACCTCCTTATTGTTTCCTTGTAATTCTGAAAAGAAAAAATAGTAGAAAACTGCTTAGGACCAATTGAGTTTGTCATTCAAATTGTCTGAAGAAACAGTCTCATCTACCTTAAGAAATGGGACATCTTTAGAGTTCATCTCCTTTTCCACTAATCTGATGGTGTTTGAGAGAGATGCAATTTCATGATTCATATCCTCAAACCTCTGGTTAACCTCCAGGTTCTTCAGTTCCTTCTCAGCTTTTAACGCAGAAAGTCTGGCAGCCTCCTGCTCCTTCAGGAAAATGTGCAGGGCTTCAAATTCCTCCTTGATCTGTGTTTCGGTATGTTCAGCCTGGCTCTAGAAAGATACATGATTAATGGGGGATCATTGCCTTCTCACCTTGGCTCTCACAAAAAGTAGCATTTTGTACTTTTACCTTGATATGTTCTGCCATATCCTCACAAGCCGTTTTTGCTTTCTTATACGCCTGCAACTTCTCTTTCAAAGGCAGCAGTGCACTCTTCAGTTCCTCCTACAAAGACAGTGACATGTCATGATAAAAACAAGGTCAGTGTGGCAAGTAGCCCAGCTGTCAGCACAATGTCAGGCTTTCAGCTGCCACATACTCTTCCATTGCTAAATTTCCTGTTCACAAAAAGCCGCACAATACAGGTACATAGATGAAAGGGGAAGAATGATCTTATGCCCTGTTGATATGTCACAATTGAGCCCATGCACCTCAGAGTTAACGCAAGGACACAAAACGGTACCCAAGAAGTTTATTTAATATTTTGTACCCATGGTTTCCCTTTCTCGAGAGAAGGCAGAGGAGGGTGGGAGTAGAACAGTGTCACAGAAACCTGGTGGGATCAAGTTTCAATCCTCTCGGGACCCCAATGGCAAACCAAAAATATAATCTATTATTAGAATGTGAATGAACTCTGCCAAACACCTACACATATCAGCTTATCAGGCTTAGAGAGGCACCAACACAATTTTTTAGAAATTGTGAAAAATCAATGTTGACAAGCTATAAATTAAAACAATGTCCAGGTACAAAGAACCACTTGTTGTATTTTTTTTTTGAACTATTGATCTGAGATTTGAATTAGTACATTTGCAAATAACCAGTCAATCTGAAATGGTGTTACCCCTGTGAAATACTGGGGTGACCAACCCTGTAACTAACTTACCTTACAGTCATGAGCACCTTCACCAATGGGATAGAGCCTGTGCCCGGTGTGTGCGGCTCCTTTCCCACATAAACCACAGATTGGCTCCAAGTCCTCCAAACAGAACAAAGTGAGCTTTTCTCCATGCTCCTCACAAGCCTCTGGGTCATTCTTGCTCCTGTCCACCTTGAAGGATTCACAGGTCTTCTCCAGCGCAGAGCTAACCACGATTTGATCCATGGAGGAACGGCGCCAGCAAAGAGGACAGTAATGTGAATCCCCGCTGCCCTGAGTCTCCCAGCTGTCTTTCAAACAGGCTTTGCAGAATCTGTGCCTGCAAGTGAGCACCACTGAATATGACCACAAACTGGGCAGGAAAGGTCATCCTCAATATGAGCACGTCTGGCAGCCATTTTTCTAAACAGGGCTTTGATGAGAAGGCAGGATTAGAGGCCCCTCCCAGGTCTATGGAAGGCTGCCTCATCTTGACCTCAGAAATAAGTGTTGATACCTCAGCTCGCAAAGGCATATCCCGTGTTATCCTGTGCTTTGTGGAGCATGCACATTGCGCCTTCTCAAATAAACACCACACCCCAAAAAGATGAATTGGCTTAACATTTAAGAGGCTGTATCCATGTAGATTAGAGTGATGAGTACCCTGGCTATAACACCACGATGACAAAAGACAGTATGGTATGCTAGTCACCACTAAGTTATGTGAGAGGTCTGTTGAAACATCCTGTCACTGTGTAATGAAAGAGTTTACACAGACACAATGTCCAAAAAAAGACTCTGGGGGAGGGTATAAATAGAGAGAAGTAACTGATTTGGACTGACGCTATGTGAGTAAGATATGTCCTCCGGCTGACCAGTGGAATATTTCCACTCTGAAGTTAGGCTTTGGCCTACACATTTAAAAAATGGACCCATGGTTATTTTTTTACAACACCCCATTTAAAACCTATTTGTGGTATAAAACACGAATGTGTTTTTGGGCAAATTGAGGGTATTTCAAAACAAGATGTGCACACAGTAGTGAAGGTTAATTTGAATAATTTTAAAATGTATGAAATACTGAATTACAGTTCAACCGAGGTAGCAAGACCTCGGTTGAACTTTAATTCAGTATTTTGTTGTGAGTATTAGTTAACATAAATGAGTGCTGTGCCAAAAATAGTACAAGAGTGTGTAGAGAGAGATGGAAAGGGAACAGAGTCCTACCATTAGGAAACACTGCGTTGCTTTAACTCTTGAGGTTTAACACACTGTGGTAGACCATACACTTCCCACACAAGGCTTATTAACAGGCGGCTTTAAATCATAGTAAAGACTGTTATTAGAGTGCACATTGTATCTGTAGCAAGCCGACATTACAGGCTTTATCATATGTATTGACATTTTAGAATAATAAAGTCAGATATAATTACATTTTGATGTATACAATCCCCTAAAGGCCTTCTAACATACAGGCAAAACTGTTCTCATTCCAAACATTTCAGGTTAGGAGTTTGATAAGAGTTATTCGGTTTGGATTGCGTTCTGTATAGGACATTGACCCTGACCAATCTGACCAAATAAGTGAAATTTGAGATGCCAAATGGAAAATATTATTTGTTCAGCAGTTCAGTCACTGATAGTGTAACAGTGACCCGCCAAAAGAGTCAACAACAACCCCAACACGCTACAGCCTGCCAGATTACTGGGGGCTCTGCATGCGGTTACTGGGCAGGTAACAGATGTTTATTTTGTTTTGCATTTCTTTTTGTCTGTTGTAATGTTTTAAATATATAAGAACTTTTATAAGATAGGCTTATCTAAAGTTGTGGCTCAGAAACAGTTATAGTGTTATTAGTTTGATTAATAGTATTCATTTAGCAAAAGTTTCTGCTCTTTTAATCTTCAAATTAGTCAATTGAATGAACAAAATGTCTGATTAGTAAACATTCAAATAGGTGGGAAAAGCGCATTGGATAACCATGATATGCACATGTTTACACACAGAAGTTTGTGTGTGTGTGTTTTGGTGTTAGTGTATTTGTGTGCAGACATATGAGGACATTACTAGAGTGCACACTCTACTGAGCACATTGGGAGTAGCAGGAAGGCCATAGCTGTGAAACTTTGACAGTTTTCCACACACGTTTTCACATTACAAGACTGTTCAAGATGTAGAGATGTCCAGCATTTAGTATCTTGATCATGGTTGTGAATATTCATTCTTTATGTTGAATTAACCCAGAATGTACACAGATCCACATGCCACCTAGGAACAAGGACAACACAGCTGGAACAGACATAAGGTATAGGCATGATTTGTGTACAGAAGCATTTTATAAAATAGATGTTTCTATTAATATAATCTAAATGCAAAAAGCACCAATAAACAATAAAATAAAAATGATGTTCTTACAATTGCAGTATTTATGTAAGTTGGGTAACAACAAAATAAATAATGAATGGATGAATACCTGATCAGGATGGTTATGTACAATATGTACATTTAAGGTTTACTGTATATACAGTGTGCAGGGTTTGTATTTACTGAGACAGAGGTTTTGTTTGAAATCTCTTCCTTTATATCTGTAAAGTTATAATCTATAATAGGAGAAGTGGACTTTATGGCGTTACAGGGTTCAGGGTATGGGTAGGAATGATTTAACTGACGGCCTGTAGAGATCTAGATATAAAACATTATTCCCAACACTATTAATTCATCTTACCTTATGATTAATGAAGGCTTCCTTTATGGAATACACTATATGATTCATGTGCCGGCCTGATCCGTGGCACGTTGAACAGACAGGTTCCAGATCAGCTACACAGATGAGAAAAAGTCGCCTTCCATGTACTTCACATGATCTAAATGGAAGTTCAGGGTTCCCTTTGAAGCAGAGAGGACACTCCTTAATACCATGTTGTATCCAGAATCGATCCAAACAACAATTACAAAAACTATGATCGCAGTCAATGCAGCAGAAGACCATGGAAGACAGGAATATTTCCCCACACATGGCGCAGGAGGAATCGTCCAACACCTCAACCTCCATCTGTGAATCTCAAGGCTACAATGGTGGGTCTCTACCAGGGCGTAAAAACGATATTCCCTCTGAAAGTACAGTATGTACCATGAGTGTTCAAGTGTACATCAAGTCAAGCAGCAGGAGAGAGAGGAGTCTCTAGAGAATCCGGCATCTCTAGTTTCACCAAGTTTAGTATCACCACATTCATAACCACTTTCAAACCATGCTACTAAAAAACTGAATCGATGCATGGGAGTTCAGTTAAAATGTTCACATTGACAACAGAGTACTAGAACAAACAGAAACACCACATAATAATCCACTCATAATGGGCTGGCTACCCCCAGGGGATCGAGGGAAAGCTTAATATAAGAAGTGATGACCTGCAGGGGGAAACTCCCTAAAGGTCAGGGGCGCAGGGAAATGGCAGCCACAAGTAATATTAATACAAACAGACAAGAGGATAAGCATTTAGACGAATAAAAGTCTCCTTTTTACTATTCATACTCTAAAGATAATTTATTGTTACTATTCATTTGCTTAACTGTCTGTATTACAAGCTCGTAATCACAATGGAAACCTAAAGGCAAAGTTAACACGATGCATTAACTCAATTATATTGATTTATTGGGGACATTTGGAGCTTGTTATATAATGAGACTTATTATAATAATAAATCCAGAGCAAAATATTGACATAGCCATTTTCAAAAGGCTGCAGGTTATGCAGGATTTAACACAGAAAGGAAAAATGTCATTAGTAGAAGCACTAATTTGTATGCTGCTTTCTTCTGCCCTTACACACTCTTCCAGTATTTCTGATGCCTCTTTCTTTAATAAATAGAAAAATAAGTACATTTTTGAATCACATGGACCACTTTATTGATTTTCACACAGCAATGACAAAAGTGGGAACCTTTCGAGATTGCAAGACAAAATTAAACTGTACAGAGAGAAAAACATATAAAATGAATAATATATAAGACACAGAATTAAAAGCTAAAGAAGTGTGACTTTTCTGGTCAGCTGCACCAACAAAAACAACGAGGTACCTCACCATGGGTCTACCCAGAATGTGTGTCAGAGTTCAGTCATCTATGGCTGCCTAGGTTTAAATCTGAGTTCAGCTGGGTCAATACTCTTCACGTGAGATTTCTTTTCTGGCTGACAAGAGATTATGGCAACTCTGAAGGCATGCTCTATATATACTGCCCGGCAGGATACAAAGTGAAACACTGTGGTTCACTAGGACATTAAATGTGTTTATGTATTACTGTGTAATATGTATAACATTGCTAACACTTAAGTTAATAAAGAAATCTAGACTGCTGACAGGGCATAAAAGAAAGACAGGTTATGGCCAAATAATCACCACAAATGTTTGCGACATATGGGATTGTATGTTCATTCACCAAATCTTCACAGAAAGTAATACAATGTAATTTACATGTGTATAGGCTGAAGTGTATTAAATGTGATTTCTATTTTTTTTTTTAAATGATGTTACATTACATTCTTAATTTACAAACAAATCATTGTTTCCTGAAAATGTATATTCAGTGCTCTGAGACTTTTTAATCATACTTAATACTTTTTGGTTTAAACATTAAAACCTTTTCCAGAATGATTATATGTATATATTTTGCAGGTCCCTAGCATTTTTCTTAAACCCTCCTCTTGGTCACTATGGTACAATAACTTCACATGAGTTTCCTGTCTGGGTGATCAGAGGCACGTCCGGAGCGTTGGTGCCGGACCTCCAGGTGTTTGCTCTGAACGCGGTCAAAGTGCTGGAGCAGCTCATTGTAATCCACCTGAGTGTGAGAAGCACGTTTGGAGGCCACCTGCTGTTTCGAGTCCATATACTTTGACTCATCCACAGTCCTCATGAGCTCCGGGTTAGGGACACACCTTAAGCGGTGGGAGAGCAGCTGGAAGGCCTGGCTCTGCGGCAGCAGCATCAGCAGGCCGTACAGAGCCTTTATCAGGTAGGGGTTGTTCTCTACATCTAGCAGCTGCAGGCGCAGGTAGGTGAAAATCGGGCTTTCGATGAGCTGTACAAGCTTGTCGACCTCCATCAGGAAGTCTACTGTGACCTCCAGATCCCCAAACTTCTGGATGAGGTCATAAGCATGTTTGTAGTTCTGCGTGAGGAAACAAAGCGACACAGTGGCTACAGGGTTGTGGCACCAGGAGCGATACAGGCAGCAGAACAAAGCACAGCTCTCCTGAGTGTGCAGGTCTTTCAGCTGGTTGCGTAACTGGAAGAGCTCAGCTGAGGTGAGCAGGATGGTGTTGAGCGTCTGGACCATGGTGGAGGCGAATTTGAGGTCCTCTTCCTTCAGCAAGATGTCAGCCATAGAGTGGAAGATGTTTTCTGCGTGAAGCAACAGACAGAGCTGTCTGATAATAAAAGCTCCTCTGTTCTCCAGAAGCTTCCTCTCCAGACTGAAGCGTTTCAGCAGGTTGATCATGAACTTGTAAAAATAGGAGTTCATGCTGGGGGTGGACGGGGACGAGTCGGCTGCTTTGGAGCCTATGATAGGCTGCTGACCTGGCTTGGCGCCCTCTGGGACCTTGAGCACCAGTTTGTTGTCAGCGCTGTCACGGGAGCCGCCTTGGTCTGATTGGCCAGCAGGAGATGATGCGATCTCAGCTAACACCTCAAGATCTTTCAGTATAACCTCGTCGGATTCATCAGACAGGGTTTTCAGCAGCATTGGAAACAGACTGTCTGTGTGGCAGAACATTTTGCGTGGCGTCTTAATGTAGAGGTGGTAGAGCCATTTGAGAACAGCGATGCGGGTCATCATGCCAGTGGAGGAGTCGTGGAGTTGCCGGCCCAACACCTGAACAATACCGTCCAGATCCAGAGTGACCTGAGGCCTGTCTGCACTGGCCGGAGTGAAGAAGCTGATGTTACTGAACCCAACAGATTCTTGTGATGCATTCAGCATATCATTGCTGTCTACCTCCGTCTTAGGCTGGCCATCCTTCTTGGTTGGCGACTCTGTACTTTCACTTTTCTCCTCCTCCTCGTCATCCTCAGGAGTCACCAGCTTCATCAGACTGTGATTACAGGCACTGGCTGCTTCTTTGGTATTCTTCTTTCTGTCGTCATAGGAAAGGCAAGGCAGCACTGCAGTCAGGATGCCAGAAGAGTAGGGGAGAACCGCTCTGCCTGCCAGCTGGATAAACTCTCTCATCCAGGTCATGGCGGTCAGCTGGATCAGGTCGTTAGTGAGTTTTGTTTCATCTGCAACCTGGCAGTGGATGACCAGGATGTTGGCCATCTCTGCAAATTTCACGTCTGAGGGTGTTTTCTTAATCTCCTTCAGAAACTCTCCAAGCACAACCTCACACGTCCTGCGGATCTCCTTGCTGTTGTCTCCCAGGATCTGGAAGAGCCCATCCAGGATCTCAGGGAGGTAGTCCAACAGGTTGATGTTTGGCACAGACTCCAGAACATGGATCCAGGAAATAATAAACTGCCGAGCATATTGATTATTTGAATAGATTCTCTCTCTGAGCAAAGGGACAAACGCCACTAAGTCAAACTTGTTACTCTCTGTCACAATGTCTTTCAGCAGTCTGTCAAGAAGTTCAGACCCGCTTTTCACATTGGGGTCTGGGTCTGCTGCGAGCTTGCTAAGACCATCAAAGAGCAGGTTGAAGTGGGGAAGCACAGCTCCCCTGGCGACCTTCACTATATTATAGAGGGCCTCACAGGCATAGTAGCGCAGACGGCTGTCTGAGTCATTAAAGCACGTGAGCACAGGCTCAATAAGCTCCTTCAGATACAGACCTGAGTCTTTGCCGAGGGCGATGGAGCAGGCTGCCAGTCCAATGAGACCCCCCTTTCGGCTGTGGGGGTGCTGGGAAAGCGCAAACTCCGAGGCCAGGATCTGGATAACATGTCTGATTTGAGTGGAGTTGTTCTGAGCCACAAACTCCCGCACCAGTTTCTCAATCTCGAGAGCTGCGACTTTCCTCTTCTCGTACAGTTTATCATTCAGAGCCCTGACAATGTTGGGCGTCAGAGGCGAAAAGTCCTTCTCCGTGTTCATGTTCGCAGCTGTAGTTGTAGCGGATCCCGTCTACTCAAATGTAAGTTATTACGTACGAAAGCTGTCTGCATTTATGACAGTTTATAACAGAAATACAGCGGTTTCACTCGCAAACCAGGAAGCCCTGTGATACAATGCAGCTGACTGGATGCAGCTGACCGGATACATCCGCCGGACACACGTCATGTGTTACATTTATTTAGGTCCCGCGTTGCGAGTACCGTTATCTCAAATGAGCTTCGGATACAGTTCATTATTGTTATACCGTTTGGCGGATGAATTGTATTGATACTTTTTATTGTGAATAGTTGTTACAGCCAGGAGCTACCATGGCAAGCCGCGTCTCTTTACACTCGCAGCTCACCTCCATCATGGAAACATTGGCCATGTCCGCCCTGAAGCAGGTCTGTAAGCTGGTGGATGAAGACTCTGCGGAGCTCCGTGTGGGGTTCTCTCAGCTCATGGCGGCTAATTCAGCCCTGGAAGAGAAAGTCTACAGTCTGGAGTGCGAGCTGACCACTATGAGAAGCGAAGCTCCTGTGTTGTGTAAAAGTAATCGCAGCGTAGGCGTGCAAACTGTCTGCTATAAGGACGGGGACGCTCAGGGTACTTATTTTTCACACTGAAAATAGCTCAGATAAGAACATACATCTTATGCATTGTTTCTGTGTTTACTGATGTGTCTTCCATGTCTTACTTTTATGGTTTGACTTTCCAGTGTCTGGGTCGCCCACCATAGAGGGGATCTTTGGAAAAGATTGGTGTATGAATCTGTGGAAAGACACAGACCCATGCAGTCTGGGGAAAGACTCACCAAAGTGCTCTGAGGTAAGTGGGTGATTCAATAGCTATTAAATGTGTGAAACCTGTAGAGTCTTGAAAAATAAACAACTGTGGATAGTGCACCTGTAATTGTGAACTATACAAACTTCATAATATGTAGGTTATAAATGTGTATAGCCATGGTTGTGTAATACATTATTAAATGTAAAACCTGTCTCTTCGAATAATGAACAAATCACATGAATGTGAACACAACAACCTTCACAACCATCATTATTATTCATATTATGTAACATTTAGGGGAAATGCCCATCGGAATTTCCCAAATCCCAACATTCTAAATGTGTTGGTTTTTCGTCACCAGTCCAAAACTGAAATTTTAAAAACAAATATATGTTGAGGGAAACAGCAAATCACAACATTTTCCATGATTATTAACGTAAATCAACAACTCGACTGATAATCATTGCTGTCATTAAAATACTACAGTTTAACATTTAGACTTTTTTTTTTTATTTGCAGTCTGTGGAGACACAATCCAACCAGATTACTGTAACTGAAATCAA